AGGATCCTTTCTGGAACTGCAGAAAGATTTTCACCCTTTCCCCATGCCCGAGTCTGGGGCACTTAGAGTTGCTGTCAAGATAACTTCGTTCATTGCACTCCATCTATGCTTGGGTCTCCAAAGGCAGTGCTTCTGTAAAGCCTGAGCTTGGCAAAACTGACGGCATGCTCACAGTGGCTGCGATTGCGTTGGCGATTGTGACATGTTGAAGGCTCCTTAGGTCCCACGCGGATTGGGCTCACAGCTCACAGAGATCGGTTTCAACGGAGCTGATAAACTTCATGGATATCCCAAATTGCCCTGAATCACAATCAGTCCCCAAGTCATGAGTACCTCAGGCGTCCTTGGTGCAATCTCAGCCTCCTCTATTGGAGTCGCATGGCGGACCCTTGTTAAATGGATCCCCAAATAAGGTACCGAAGTCTGAGAAGCTCCGCGTGGCCGCGCGACACAGCTTGTCTTCGCCCTTTTGGGGTTCCTACCAAGACCCTATCATATAAGGCAACGAGACCCAGACTTCCACAGCTTTGAGATCTCGTGAGCTCGTCTGCCTGGGAGCTCTGGAGCCTCAAAGGCCTGAGGGGAGACTCCGAAACATGGCGACAAAAGCGCAGAAGGCGACAGCTTAGACTGTTGAGTTTCTAACGGCTCGCGATTCGGGAAACCCCGCCCCTCAAAATCGTAGGCGTGGTTGCCTCACGTGAAGGTAGTCAGCCCCTGGAGTGTTCTGTGTGGCTGGGTTCTGCGACAAGCAGCGTCTTGATGTCCGATTTGTGCAAAGACATATTGAAGTCATACTCGAGATGCTCGTGACTTATGGAAGTTTCGAAAAAACAAGATTCCACGCCGACCCCAGCGGTGGTAGTCGCACTTAGTCGCTTCAATCTCAGCCCCTTAACTGCGAAAGCCAAAGCATGAGTCGGAGTCGCCAACTTCCTCTGAACGACTCACATGAAGGTACCGTACCTTCCGTACCTTGATGCAGTAGCCTGGGCTGTTGCAGCCCACGCGCCTGAAACGAAACTCCGACTCAAAGGGCGGGTTTCTCAAGCTGGACTCTGCGGCCGCTTGCCCATCCTTGCAGATTTAGCTATCATGGTAAGCAGTAGCAGAGCAGCGGCAGGCTGCGACTATTGCTGCGTGTTTTGTTGCTCAGATGGCCCCCAAACCATGATCATGCTCACCCTGATCACGATCATGATGATGGTCATCACCGTTCTCAGCATCGGTATCAGCTGCTTCTTCATCATCAAGATTACCAGCGGCACAATCGTCACAATGATCCACAGTGCCACCCTTACAGCACATCTTTGCATTCATCGAGCCCGCCGCGCGAGTCTTGCTTGGCGACTAGTTGATGCAGTGCTTTTTTTTGCCACGCGAGCGGATCATTAGGTAGAAGCACTCCTGGAAAGCAGCAAGTTGCAATATTCTACATGATCAGAAGTCATCATGTTGACCTTCGAAATGCTCTGAGGGTCCGAGAGGTGCAGGGCAGACTGCCTGACGTCGCTGTTTGTTTCGTGCCCTTGCGAAGCACTCTTCCGAAGGTTTGTCACGCTTTGCCCAATTCATATTGCAGCTCTCACATGCTGGCAAGACATCAACATGTTTCGGTGGAATCGCATGTATGGCCTACGAGTTGGAGCGATCACAGCCCCCGCCCCACCCTAAAAGTGGTTCTCATGCACCCTTTAAGGTAATTGCAAAAAACCATCTTCTGCAGATCCAGGTTCCGCTTCAGCATCTTATCGTCTGTGTTCTGAGCTGCAACAGCACCTGTTATGCCGGACAGGATGCTTTTCATACTCTTTCTGGACGTAGCTTGAGAGCCAGCAGTCGGCTGAGGGTCAAACGTCAAACGTGTCTGTTCGTGAGGACATTTCGGGGTTGCACCTGGTGGTTGGGTCGCACCTCAGACCTGATGGTAAAATTGTGCGCAATGCTTAATTGAATGTGCCTTAATACCGACGAGCCGGGTTGCCAGTCCCTTTGTCCGACGTTTGGGGCCTGGTGAGCTGTGAACAACATACTGACCATGCCCAGCTGGATGGAGTGCAGGAAAAGTGTCCCGCAAAGCTTGGAACCTGCGATACTGAGCCAAGCCCTGAAAGCGATGATGCACTAGCAGATAAGATCCACGAGGCCTTGCCAAAAGCACTTCCAGTGTCACGCTTACAACTCAGTAGCGGCAGTAGCGAAGTCTTTGAAGCATGCTTTTGACCTGTACTATGTTGCATTTCGAACTAGCTTCTGAAAGGTCAGATGCCGCAGTGGCCTGACAAAACTGTCACCAAACAGCTTAGACACTCACTAGGGGGACCTGACAAGCCTGTCCCCAAACTAGGGTGATGAGCGTGATGGTGACGACTCTGATGGTTTACTACTACGCTTGTTGCCGTTGCTCTTCTGCTTCTTCTTCTTCTTCTTCGTGCCGCGTCTTGTTTGTCCTCATTACGGCTCCGGCACCGTCAGGCTGCCCTGGCAGAGCTCCGCAAAGACGTTAGAGCCAGCGGCCACCAGGACAGCCTCAGCAGTCAAGGGTTTTAGGGTTTCGGATTCAGGGTTTAGGGTGCTTGTGCAGCATCTGCATGTTCATGAGCACGACAGTGCTCACTCGAGCGGACGAAGCAGACGGTTTGTGCTCCCTGTGTGAAGGCTACAGCTCTGGAACGTCTCGTCACGGAGTGCAGGGAGGAGCTCTTTTGCGTGCTGGACCAAAGACACATGCTTCGGGCAACAACTATGACGACTGCAAGGATAGCAATGACAACAATCACCATGACAAGAGCAACGATGACAATAGCAAAAAAGCAGTCGAATGGATTTGCAAGGAGTTGTCTCGGCAAGGCGAGGCAGCAAGAGCAGAGGAGCGCTACGAAGCAGCCGGGTGTCCCTTTGGTGGGTTATTATTATTATTATTGCACTATGTTATCTTTTCTATTCTCTTCTATTCTATTCTATTCTATTCTATTCTATTCTATTCTATTCTATTCTATTCTATTCCATTCTATTCGATCCGATTTTATGACTGTACATCATATAGTGTTATGCTATATGATATTGTATGATACTGTTCATACTTTATCACAAGACATTATCTGAACCCTTCTTCTGAACCTCCGAGCCTGGCAGAGTTGCACTTCGGCTGATGCTTCCAAGCGTGATAGCCGGGGGTGCCGGGCAGGTCCCTTCCTAATCCCTTGAGTTTGAGGGCTTCGCCGGTCAGTGACCCCAGTGACCCCCGGAGAAGCCGTACTGTCTAGTGCCTAGGGCCTGCAACTTCAAGGCTGCATGAAGGAAGGTTCGAAGCAGAGCAACTTCACCCAAGAGGCAGCTTTGCTTAAGTCTGCGAGCCTCCGAAACCGGGTCCCCAACAATCTCTTCCTACAAGAAGCCGGAACACTTGAAAAAAGCAAAACAGAAACCAAAGTGCTTCCCCTTCCAGTCCCTGCGGAGCGGCGCCGCGTTTCAGAAGGAAACTTCTGAGCGGACCTGGCATGGAATTATTATAGTGCTGAAGGCTTTATCGTAGACAGGGCTCTGCAACACATCCTACTTAGACGTAGATTCGTAGATGCATCGTGTTGAAATCGGTTTTGGCTGCCTGGGGTGGATATCAGCCGACCCCTGGAAATATGAGAGTTAAGCAAAGCTCCATGCAAGAAGTCACGGTTGTGATCATCACCATTTCAATACTAAGAATAGCGAGAATGAGGAATATAAACATGATGACAATCCTCAAAAGCATATTCATATCTAAAACGAATCCTCAGTATAACGATGGCAGGTTAGGCAGACGGATGGATGTCTTGGAGCACTCCAATGAGGATCTGGCTGCGCACTTGGAGACCCTCTGATATTCAAGGCAACGTCTCAACAATGAAGAGGGTTTAGAGTTGAGATGGCACGTGTCTGCCTGGTGGTTTAGAATACAGGGGATGATTCTAAGGACAAACATCCACATGAACATCCCCCTAAACATCCCCCCCTGAGATTGGCAGTCACGTGCAGATTTGTGACCCGTGTACGAGTACATTGCCGCCGTAAGTTTTACGAGTAAACACTTTTGCGAGTATTATTTGCGAGTAATCCAGTTTACGAGTAAAAATTTGCCAGTA